AGACGCCCTTCAGTTTTTAGGGTAAGGATTTTAGAAAAAAGTATTGTCTTATAGTTGGAAAAATACGGTATATGTGCAAACGTATTGGAGCACAGTGGTTCTCTCGAGTAAGTTTTAGCCTACAATAACATCTAGCACTAAGCATTTGCTCAAATGAATAGATTCACTGTAATTATACCATATGAATAAAGTAGAAATAATTGTACATGGAAACAGGAAAAAAAGAGACTTGGAAGTTCCAAACCTATTATCAAGGAGATTACACACACACACACAACATAGACCTCAGTTTAAGAATGAGTTCCGTTCCCAAGGTCTGTCCTTAAGTTGAATTTGTATGTAAGCCAGAACAGTATTATTGCATAATACTGTATAAGTAATATAGTGTAATGAACTCGAACCACTGTGTATTTAACTCGAATCATTGTGTATTTAACTCGAATTTGGTACAGTAGGCTCCATTCTTAACTATGGGTTGTCTGTAACCCGGGCGTTCTTAACCGGGGGACTCCCTGTATATCTCAGATATCATTGTTTCAAAACAATATTTCTGCACTTCTGGCTTTTTCTTCTTTCTTTTTCTCTTTTCTTTTCACTTTATATTAGTTCTTGTTAGTTTTTATCTAATGTTTAAAATCTTTAATAAATTTTTTTAAAAAAGGAAAAAATAAAAAAGAGAATATGTATGTGTTTGTGTGTGTGTATAAATAAATAAAACAAAGTAAAATAGAAAACGGGCAGCAAGTCAATAATTTGTTTCCCTCTGCCATAGAAACATACCAACGGAAAATTGTCATCTATTATATTTATAGCAGCCACAGAGTGATTAGGAGCCAAAGATTCCTGCCAAGGAGGACACAATATAATATAAAACTTCTAAGTGAGAATAAACAGCCTTCCTAGGAGAAGAGTTTATAGGTATCCCTGACTTGTTGGAAAAAAGCAGCTGAGAGAGAGAACAGCAATGCAAATGAGATTGCCAGCTGACCAGCACAACCCTAAACTTTGTGTTGGAGGCCCGTGGATTCAAGGAGTTTTTTTCCTCCTTAATTCCTCATGGAATACATTCAAAAAGAACCCAGTTTTGGGGGGGGGGGGGCCTACTGGATCAATTACAGCCCAACATCCATCCTTCATTATATTAATAGGCATCAATTATTTTATTTATTTTTCAAATTTATATATGCCGCCCATCTCGCTATACAAGTGACTCTAGGTGGCTTTCTTTTTCTTTTGCAAAGAATTTAAGAGAAAAAACAGATAAGAACTTAAAATGCTAAATTTAAAATAATTATGGAACTTTAACCTCAATGTTTTATGTCACCGAGGAACTTTAACCTAGAATGTTTATCAATAACACTTCTGCATCCCTGTTTAATGTGTTTTATTGGACTGTATTTCCCAAGTTGTCCAAAATCTTTCTGATATGTGGCCTACATTTTCTTAGCTATTCCGGGCATATTGCAAAAGATAAAAGAAGTTAAAACCAGCAACAAAAAAGTGAGAACAACTCTGAACTTGTTCATGGATTCACATTTATGTCCCTTTTAACAAAGCTTCTTCACCTCAATCTTAAAATGAGGAATATACAGCAACTAAGAGATCTCTGCGCAAAATTTGGCTCTTTACCAACCAGCTGTAAGAGAAATTTTGCAGGCAGATAAAATCAGGACACATGTAGGAAGCATTCCTGCCCCTCCCATTCCATGTCTCATTAACCCTCCAATTATAATAATGATCACCAGCCACTTAAAGTAATCTAGTTAATGAATTTATTGCTTATATTTCCCAGTTACAGATTTCAGATTCTGTTTGAGATTATAAGGAATATAGAAGACACGAGACATTTTGTGAGCAGGGATCGTAACGTAT